ACACCAACAAAAGGCACACACGGTCTTCCTCCTGTTGAAAACCTAATTGTTCGGAGTTTATGCATGTCATTTCAGACCGTCTTGTTGTCGGCACCTGTGAAAGGCGCAAGAGCACCGCATCTCAATGGAGACTCCAGCCCGCAGGAACACTACAGAAGGGGAAGGAGGCAGCAGGAGAAACCGGAGAAGAAAGCAACCTTACTGCTCCCTTTTGGCTTTTTTACACCAACATGGATTTCACTACTGCAGACCCTTTTGCTCTTGGGAAATTAAGTTGGATACAAAATTACCTGCCTAGCCCATGGGAACCTGGATGTAACTATGTGAAGTTCTACTCAGCTGCCTGGGAGAAAAGATGCAAGGGAAACAGTAGAGATGACAAGAGATGTACTAAGAAACTATGGAGGAAAATGGAAGACAAAAAGAGAACAAAAACCATATATGCAACGGGGGGGGGGGGGGTGAGGAGGGCGCAGAGACAGAGGAGACCACTGTTGAACCTACACCCCTTCAAAGTTCATTCTTCCTCCTGGGCTGGGGCAGGGCAAAGGTGTGAGGCTCTGGGTTCCATCTTCAGCACCTCTCTCTTTCGCTCTCTCTCTCTCTCTCTCTCTCTCGCTCTCGCTCTCGCTCTCTCTCGCTCTCTCTCAGACACACACGCTTGCGCGCGCGCATACACACACACACCGTCCTAGTCTTTATTTAAAATGTCAGCATGGCCACTACAAAAACAAAATCGCTGAGAATAGCGTGCTGTCCTAAAACTACCCATTTTCTTCCACAAAAACTAATTACATGATCACATACCATGTTAAGTCAACCAAATGAAACTCGCTACCCTTTGCCAATTTTGAACTGCTGAGAGCAATTTGTGCAGCTCAACTGAAGGACCCTGTCGTCATTAAAAAGAACGAAGTAAACAGACAGAAGACCATTATAGGATAGTCCCATTCGACGTTTTTAGAAATGGGTATCTATTTATATGTGCAGTATATATACCTATATACAATATACTTAATATATATATATATATGAATATCTACGAATATAAAAGGATAGTGATATTTTCCATGTATTTACATTTTGAGAGAGGGTCTCACTATGCCACCCAAGCCTTGATCTTGAGTCACTCTTCATGCCTCAGTTTCCCCAGTACTGGGGTGACAGGTGCTTGCCATGACATTTAAAGAAATGTATAAATGCATTACTGTATGTGTCTATATGACATACATCTATATGTCCTTACATGTAGGTTGTACATATAGAAAACGCAGCTCTTATAAGTGCACAGAGCTTTCTGGAAGCTCCCCGAGAAAATGCTTCTGAGAGGGAAATGAGAGGCCAATGCCCAGATGGGCTGATTCTCATGGCAACGATCCTTCACTGCTGCATAGTTTCCCGTCTCTGTAGAGTCTATTGTGCCAGTTGGCGTGTCTGACTAGATGCACGTACGTTGTTGTTTTGAGACAGCGTAGGCCAAGCTATAGTCAAATTTACCATCCTCCTGCCTCAGCCTCCTAAGTACTGTAGTTAGCATACCTATTGCCAATCCGTATGGCTTTTTGAATTAAGAAAATTGTCTAAATAACTTTTCAAATGTCTCAAGTAACTTAATGACCATTTTAACAAGCAAATCATTTAAAATGTTAAAAAGTATTTAGAACAAGGACACTTCAAATAAGGTTAATTACTTAAACTTCAGCCTTTTTTTGTTTGTGAGACGTGGTCTCGGGCAGCCCAGGTCCGCCTGGAACTCCCTATGTAAATGAGGATAACCTTGAATTCCTGTTCTCCCTGCCTCCATCTCTTGAGTGCTAGAATTACAGATGCCTGCCAACACACCTTGTTTCTATGCAGTGCTGGGAATCAAACCGGGGGCTTTATGCATGCTTGTAGCACTCTACCAATGAGCCACTCCCCCAGCCCAAAGTGCTCTTCTTCACTCTAACCTGCCTGCCCAACAGTTTCATTCATGATCCTGAGGATCCCAGTGAGAACAGAAGTTACTGTTAGCCGTGTTTCAATTGTAATATTCACATAACACGTACTTCATAACTATGCAGTCATACATAGAACAGTATCTGTGTGGTACATACGTGAGGAGGTCAAGGTCAGATGTCTTCTTCAATAACTTTGCTCTTTAAATTTTGAGACAGGGTTGCTAGCTGAACCTCGAACTTGATTGGCCTTGATTGGCAGACGGGGTTGCTCACTGAACCTCGAACCTGATTGGCCTTGATTGGCTGGGCCAGCCTCTCTAGCGTGTGGCTGTTTTCATGGTGCAGTGATCTAAATGGGAATGTCCCCATAGTCTGCAGGATTTAAACACTCGGTGGTCCTCAACTGTGGTGGCTTTGTTTGAGGAGGTTTATTAGGAAGTCTGGCCTTCCTGGAGGAAGAACGTCACTGGGGACAGGGTTTGAGAGTTTAAAGCTCCACACCACTTTCAATTCACTCTCTCTGCTTTATGCTTTCAGTTCAGCATGTAACTGATTCCTGTCCCAGCTGCCATGTCTGTCCCCTGCTGCCACACCTCCCCACCATGATGAGGTCTTACACCTCCACAACTAAAAGCCCAAGCAAACCTGGTCACCATTTTTCATCAAAGCAACAGAAAAATAACAAAGACACGTGGGTACCAGGGATACAGCAAGCACTTCACACACTTGAGCCATCTCCCCAGCCCTGAGATATCTTCAGTTTCTATGGACAACATATTCAGCTATAGGCCCTGTCTACCTACACAGACATACTCAATCAGGCAAGTATTTACATCAGTATGTAAACATGTATGTGTGTATAAGGGTGAGAATGCAGAACTAAAGGCACTATTGGTACTCCTAACCCATCGTACTTAGTGGGTTTTGATGCATCTTCAAGAGGCATGAGCAAGAACTGTTAGCGCTGTCTCCAAAACTACTGAGCATTGAGCTAGATCCAGGGCCTGAACCTCTCCTCCAGGCTCTCCCATCTTACACCCTGTGGAGAAGATGAGGAAATAGCTACATTTCTCTAAGGGTGCTTCTCTTCTTATCCGGATAATACCCACTGTTACCTTCATTTGTTCTGCTTGCATTAAGTCCCCCACTGACCTCATCTTCCCTCAGAAGCAGTGTGTGTTCTAAGAACCACAGAGATAAAACTTACAGCACATGGTCCAGTCTGAGGCCCACGAGTCTTGTCAACTTAATGCTCCAGCCTCAGATGTTTGTATTTGGAAACATTTTATATGAATATTAACATATGAGTAAATATAAAATGCAGATTTTTTGATGCATAGTTAGTAACTCTATTATGAATGAATTCATCAGAGGCAGTATCCCAAAGCTTGATAATTAGCCATAATTGTGGCAGATATTTATCAGAAAGTTAAACAGAAAACAAAAAAATAGGCTTTTTACATCTATTTTAGTCTTCATAAAAATGTTTTATCCCAAAATTAAACAATGCAATCTTAGCTATGACTTAAGTTCATGAAACCCACAAATTTTAGTAGCACTTCCCAACAAGTTTGTTGTTCAACTTTACTCAGTTCAGTTTATAACCATTCCTAAACTTTCTTTTCAATGGCATAAATTTGATATGAATATGCATGAAATTTTGGCCATTTCATAAGTGTATGGTGTGCCATTTTTCTCATTAACCCAATTTTATGGATTTTTTTTAGATTAAGATTTCTTTTTTTTTAAATATTTATTTATTTATTTATTATTTATACAGTTAGCCAGAAGAGGGTACCAGACCTCATTACAGATGGTTGTGGGCCACCATGTGGTTGCTGGGAATTGAACTCAGACCTTTGGAAGAGCAGGCAATGCTCTTAACCTCTGAGCCATCTCTCCAGCCCCTAGATTAAGATTTCAAATGTTAAAATCATTGTTAGTAAAGTCTCTATATTGGTTAGCTTTAATCTTTGAAAAATACTCTAAATCCCAAAGCACTACAAGTGCTATAAAACTCCAGAATCATCTCTATTAAAAGCAGTTCCAAGATGAGCGAGTAAACATCGAGCGGAAGCAACCCTTGACTCCTTAGTAAACCTGCATCTTTAGAGCCACTGTTGTGTGTGCATGTCCTCCATGTCGGAAGTCAACCGACACTAAAACACTAAGCCACGGGCATACAGTAAAACCGTTTCCATGTACAAGCCTTAGGAAGCTGGTTTTCATGAAAATAACTGTTGAATAAATTAACTTTTGCAGATATGTTCCTGAAGGGGGAGCATCCAATCATTTAATGGGTTCCCTACTCAAATTCCTTCCCTAAGTCCCTCCCTGACAACAGCCTAGGTGTGAAGACTTTGAAACTAAGTTAAACTTCAGAATACATAAATCCGTTAATACCCAGCAGCCCCTGCCTTGTGTATGTTCATCATCAAATGAAAACTCAACTTTGACATGGTCCAACAACTCCACAAAAGCACCACACGAACCGTCCTGCACAGAGCCTGAAAAGGTAACTGGTGAAGAACCACCGTGGATATGCAATCTGAGTTTTGTACTTTGTGGGAACCTGGGACATAGAAGCCTAGTCAGCCTGTAGGCAAGGCGCACCAGAGAAACTGACCAACTAGCGTCATCTGCAATCCACCCTCTCAAGTTGTGTCCAGAGAGGAGCAAGCAGCCTGCTGTGGATAGGAATGCAAGGAAGCGAGCGCTATACAGGCTCCACAGGACTTCCAGCGCAAGCGGCGGCAGAGTGAAAAATCCAAACTCCCTATTTCAGTTCCCTAAGTGGGAACTCGCAGCGGGGCTTCAACTTTCTCCCGTGCTGCCGCCAAGCCACTTGCTCTGACTGCTAGGCGAGCTTTCTGGAACACACCCTGGAAGTCTCCAAACCCCAGGCAGGAATCCCGGGCGCCGGTCCCGCCCCAAACAAGGCTCCGCCTAGTCCAGGCCGCGCCCCCGCGCCCCTCCTCCGGATCCTGGATCCCGGGATCTCCCCGGTGCTCCTGCTCCCTCCACTCACAGCTCTCCTGCAGGCCCTCAGCTAAACCTTACCTTGGTCCGGATCTGTCCAGAGGTGGATACTTTGCGGATCAGCTTCTGGGGTCCCTCCTGCTCAGCTTCACTGTCAGAAGAATCTTCTCCCGGTCCCGCAGCGGTGGGGGAAACGGTGCCGGCCCCAGCAGCCGCTCCTCCCGCGACTCCTGGAGGGTGGTGCTGGCTGCCCGCTCCGGCCATCCTCTCCGGTTCCTGTGGGGTACACAACAGAGCCCCGAGGGGCTGTGGTCAACTGCTGGGCTCTTCCCGAGAATCCAAGCCCCGCGCCTAGCTGGCGCCATCTTCCTGGCCGCAGGGCTCCGGGGACCGGGGACCACACACCGACCTTGCCGAGACCGCGGGTTCCTCTGGGCGAGGCTCACGCCTGCGCACCCAAACTTGGGATGTTCTGGGGTTGCTGACCCACGATACCACCAGCACCGGAATGAGAGGATGAAGGTCGCAATGAGGCTTGGACAACCTTCCTCTTACTCCTTCTAGGGTCTGAGGGCCTAGAGGGACTATGGGGCAGAATTGGGCAGGAGCGCACCAGCAGGTCAGGCGCGGTGGAGATGCTCTTCCCCTCGTTCTAGACTGCAGGAGTGTGGGGAAGGCTCCGAAGGAAAATGGGAACATGGAGCCTCCTCCTACGCCCATAGGTGCACCCCTGGACCCCGAATCTCCACACACTCGGGCCTTGTGGCATCGTTCCAGCTAAGCAAAAGTTCCCTCTGCCCGGGATATGGACTGTATCTCCGGACCCTGGGCACCACTACAGGGATCTTACCTCCCCTGCTTCTGCCAGGGAGTTTGGGTCCTTGCTGCCTCCTCTACCCTGTTTAGCTGAGGACCCACCCCCATCCGGCGCACACGGAAGAGAAGAGCATTTTCCGGGAGGTTCAGCTCCGCTCTGGGAACTTTTCGTTCAGAAAGAGCGATTCCCTTTGGCTAACAGGAAGCTGGGAAGGGCGTGGAGAGAGCGCAGAAACAAGAGAGGACACGCAGCCCAACACGACACTATACTGAAATAAATGTCTAAGCTAAAGTGCTTATCCAGAATGCCTGGAAGAATGCATTCAACAATGTCAACAATGTACTAAGAAAAAAGTACATATATACATATGTACATATATGTATATGTGTATATATATATATATATATATAGAGAGAGAGAGAGAGAGAGAGAGAGAGAGTGAGTCAGTCAGTCAGTCCTAGGAGAGGGGATCCACAGGCTGTAGCTGCTTAAGGGGGCAGCAGGCAGAGCAACCTCCCTGCACAGAAGGCACACTCAACCTCCAAAGTTGGTGGGGGAAGGCTTTGTGGGAAAGACACTAAAATGACAAGTTTCCTGCTGTCAATCAAAGAGAACTTCACTTCGTTGTCAGCTGTGTTTTTTCAATTTAAGTAGAAGTCCCTAGCCAACCCTGGGGGCTCTCCTTGACACAGCAAACTTTAGAGCCCCTGCCCCCCAGATTCCTTTCCTATTTATCAGTTGAAGGTGACCTTGAAAGTTCCTTGAAACTAAGACTCTGGGGTGTTGTTTTTCTCTAGGTGCAACCTTAAGCCCAAGAATTATTCCACTCTGTGTCAGAGCTGCGAGCTCTAAGACATTTTACCTATACTAAAAACGGGAAGTGCGAATCCTTCAGCAGAGAGTGTGCTGCCATCTTACATGAATACAAAGACCTCTCACGCTTCAGTTATTTCCTTTAGGAAAGGAAGGAGTGGGGAAGGAATGGACTTTAAGAGTTCTTACGGCCTGATAATATGAAATTCTGTATCTACAAAAACACACTGCTGGGAAATCTTTGAGAGACAATAACAGTAAACAATGGCCTAGGTTGGGAATATAAATCAGTGCTAAAATTCTTGCCTAGTGTACAGAGGCCCATCAGAGCCAAAAACAAAATAATGCCCTTTTAATAACCTTTATCCTGGTCGGGCTATTTGATCACAGACAAGTCTAATGATTTGGCAACACAAGGGGTCTTTACGTAGTTGAGACTTTCCTTTTAAGGTAAAAGACATTGAGGTCACAAGCTGGGACCAAAGGAAAAAAAAAACAAAAACGTGTGATTGCAATTCTAACGTTCTCTTCTCCACACTATATATAGCTAAAGGTCATGTACTTCAATCTACACATTAAGCTTTCAAGTTTTTTTTGTTCTTTTGGGTTTTTTGTTTTGTTTTGTTTTGTTTTGTTTTGGATTTTTCGAGACAGGGTTTCTCCGTAGCTTTTTGGTTCCTGTCCTGGAACTAGCTCTTGTAGACCAGGCTGGCCTCGAACTCACAGAGATCCACCTGCCTCTGCCTCCCGAGTGCTGGGATTAAAGGCGTGCGCCACCACCGCCCGGCAAGCTTTCAAGTTTTATACAGCAACATTTTCCAGAATCTAGACAAGGGTGACTGAACTGAACGGTGGTCCAACACCCATGCCTATTCTGTGATCCTTGGAAGAAGGTGGATCACAGTTCTCACTCTGAAAGGATGCTGGTTGCTTAAGGAGAGTTTAAAACAGCTTCACATCCAGCGAGTACTTGGTGACTTATAAAAACTTAGCCCTCTAGCCAGCTCTGCTCTACACAGAGTTCAGCAGGTTTCGAATGCCAGTACCTATGAAAGCAAAGACAGGCTAAGCGTACTTCATAAGCAAAGGACTGTGGCTCTCGACAGCATCTGCAGCTGTGGAGGAAACCCCCGATGAAAACACTGCGTAGGCAAAGGAAGGAATGCTGCCTCATTTCCCACAAGAGGCAGCCCAGGAAAACCCCCGATGGAGAACCATCTCTTCCAGACACTTCTAAGGAATTCCCATTTTAAATAATATCTGACCTACTAGCCACTTACTGGGTTCCATGGGTAAATGTCCAGAATGGGTATCTAGTCCAACTAAAATGCACTTCACCTTTTGTTTGCTTGTGTTGAGATGCCTCACAGCACACCTCAGGCTGGCCTGGAGCTCATCACGTAGCCCCATCCGACTTGTAATTCACGGCAGTTCTCCGGCATCAGCCTCTCTCTATATCTCAGAAGGGCTACTGATATTTCAATTGTATGGCATACTGCCTTATTTGATTTATAAAACATTCCCTGACTTTTTCTTTAGTGTTTCAGATAATTTCTTATGTGTTTATTACTGGTACTTTGAGATCTTTGCCAGGTAGTGGTGGCGCACACCTTTAATCCCAGCACCCGAGGTAGAGGCAGGTAGATCTCTGGTCTTCACAGTGAGTCTCAGGGCAGCTAGGGCTATACATTGAAACCCTGTGACCATGACGGGGCGGGGGGGGGGGGAGTTCATGTGGAACTTATCAGCAAAACTGTTTAAAATGTGCATAGAAAAGGCTGTGGCAAGTGAGCTGCCAAGGGCTTGAAGCCAGCCTGGGTTACATAGTGGGTAACAGGTCACCCAACCCCCGCCCTGCCAGCAACAGAGCAAGATCTTGTCTCCAAACAACATCAACAAAAATTCTATAGCTGTTACAATCAGGATTCCATTGAAATGAGAGAAGATGACCACTAATTGGCTTTCTACTTAATAACGTATCATACATACTCGATTAGAAAAAACAAGAAGTACCGAAGAGATATAAGCCAGATATGCTTATTAAAGCTTTGTGACGCCGGGCAGTGGTGGAGCACACCTTTAATGCCAGCACTGAGGAGGCAGAGGCAGGAGGATCTCTGTAAGCTCGAGGCCAGCCTGGTCTACAGAGGGAGTTCTAGGACAGGCCCAAAGCTACAGAGAAACCCTGTCTCGAATCCTACCCCAGTCCCCCCAAAAACTTTACAAATACTGTATTACACTATTATCTACAGAGGTATTTTAAATTAATCTACTAACAACAATCTGGACTGACATTAACTTAAAGTGCTTAATCCCATGTTCTGTGGTTTTACATTCAAATTTTCATATAACCTGATGAGGGTTACACGCCATACGTTGAAAAACACAAGTAGGTAATTAAGAAACCATGTTCTAGGATTCATGTTCCTGTTCAGTACAGAACCAAAAGACTGCAGACAGAACAAGCAAGGCCTGGGAGGCCGCCGTGACTGCAGTGTGGAACTATTTCCACAACACACGATTTGTTATGTATTCAGAACTTAACATTTAAAAGGTTTACCCTGTTGAAATTGCTTTAGTTGTTATCCAGATAACAAAACGTTCCAAGAGCAACGGTGCCATAAATTATAGGAACATACTGTGATCCCTGCACACAGGGCGAAACTCCTCATCCTCACATAAAGTACAACTGTGTAACTAACCTCTTATTTGTATCTTGGCCAGTTTTGCTTTGAAACCCTTCCCTTTCTTCATGTCCATTAATTCTGGATTGTTAACTGGTATAACGTTAACTCGTAATTCTAACTGGTAGAAAACCATTCAGAAATAAAAGCTCATTTTAGGGACTGAAGCACATTCAGGCTTCTCTCCACTAGAAAGAGCATGTTGTAAATACTCCTGCATGTTTAAACTGAGCCAGCAATTTAACTACCTATCGGCTACCCACTCCCACCTGAGATCAGGAACTGTGTCGCTAAATGTCTTCCTACCCACTCATTCCCAACAGCAAAATACTTCGACTCTGTTTCTATTTTAGTGAGACAAAGCCAGGGTGTTGCACAGGCGCAAGTTTTACCACTAACCTACATTGCTGCCCCAATTACTTTCTCTAACTGGTTTTTTGATAAAGAATCTCACTATTTAGTCCCTGCTGGTCCCAAACTCTGAGCCCTCCTTAGCTGATTTGCTAAGAACCACACCCTATTCCCCAAACACTTATTGATTTGAAATTTTAGTGATGCCTATATTTTCACTAACACTTGGCTATTTTCCAAAGCTAGCATCAATGAAAAAAGAGAGAGAAACTTAAATGTTAACCTGTACCTTCTTTAAGTTCAATATTTATCCAGAATAATGCTAAGTAAAGTTAATATATCCAAATGTTCTGATAGCTGAATAACTTAATTTCAGAGAAAATGCCATGAAGTCCCAGGATTTCCCTTAGCTCCAGGCGTTGGTATTTAGCCAAGAAGTACTATTTCTTTTCAGGTAGCCACAGTAACCTCCAAGGAATCCTTTGCTTTTCTGTCTGAATAGTAAAAACCATATCATCAAAGTTTAGGCTCCATCAGGAAAAAAAAATGAGAAAACGAATTCTTACATGCATGCTGTTACATGCCATTAATAATACAGCAATCTCACTTATTCAACACGCATGTCTTTTTATGAATGTAAATTTGCAAGCTTGTATGGTAAAGTAGTACAGTGCCTATATTTCAATCTTTAAAAGGGTTTTTAAAGAACTCAGAATTGGAATCCAAGTGAAAACAGGTTTGTTTTCTTTGCTGTTGTCTCATTTTGTTTTAAGAAAGAAAGGGTCTATTTTGGCACAGAGGATAAACGTATCTTGGGGGGACAGACCGGCAGCTGGGGCTCCACCTGTGGTAGCCAGAGCATGCACCAGCTGCTCATTCTGCGGCATCTACAGGAAGCAATGAGGGAAGCAGGTAGCCTCCACGCGAGAGACTCTGAGCACACACAGACTGGACTGGACTCGAGGAAACCTGTGATTCCAATGTGCGTGTGCGTGTGTCTGTGTGTGTGTGCGTGTGTAAGACAGTGGTTCCTTAGGGCTACAGAGGTTAACAATTTGTTGTCTAAATATACTGTGTGCCGCTTGACTGTATGCCGTATAGGTTCATTCTGAATGAAGCCAGAATTCCTCTCATTCAGTCTTGAGATCAAGCTAAAGACCTTGATTTTTGAGAACTCCATGATGCCTGGCATCCTAGTACTCTGCTGAGGCAAGAGCTTGGCAGGGAGTTCCAGGCCTGCCTGGGCTACCTAGGAAGTCACCAACCAGACTGATGGAGTACACTGTGAGACACTGTCCCAAACACCAAGAAACAAAACCAATTCTGATGGACATTTAGATTAAGTTAACACCAACCCCTTTGCTCCACACATCAGAAACATTTAACATTTAAACATTTTCTCCCTAGTGCATTCAGCTTCCTCTTTTATATGCTCCTTTTTTAGTAACGCAGGTAACTCAACTTTCTTAAGGAATTATATACAGATGTCCTCTGAAAATGTTTAAACATTGTAGCCATTACAGAAGGTTCAGAATAAAATCACTATGGAGATCCATTAAGACACACACTTAAAGGGGTTTCACTCCTTAGCTATAAGAATGGAAGCTTTCTGGGGACAAAAACTGCCCGAGTCTTACCAGCTTGCCCAACCGTCACAGAACAGAACATGATAGGTGTTGGATAAAAATATCTGCTGAAGAAATAAAATGCCTCAGCCATTTTAAAACACCTACTTTTTAAAGAGTTCTGCAGCCTAGCTAGTATCACTGCTGCCACATCTCTGTGACGGTTTTAGTTTTAAAAGTTCATGTTGGGGGAGGACTAGTATTTAATATTATCTGTAAGAATACGTAAGAAAGCACTTTGGTTCTTAACACTTTGGAGAAGAAAATAGAGGTCTCTAATTTTCTAACTGGTAAGTAGCAAAATACTCCTGACATTCATCACCCCCCCCAAAAAAAAACCCCACTACACGTTACACGTTAACTCCGGGTTTCCCATTGTGACGGGTGGAGGCTTACAGGATTTCTTTCATATAGTAAAGTTCAAAACAGGTCACTGGACTTAATTCCCAATGATCTTAAATGTCAAAATGGAACTGTAATTTTTTAACCAAGAATCGCACTTACTCCCGGATGGCGATGGCAACAGAACACGAGTAGATGGGCTACCGAACGTGCAAAACCACAAAAGCAAAAGCAGCTGCAGATGGATCAAAGTCGAAGGACACTCCTGAAAGGTCAGGAAGCAAGAGGCAGCTAAACGTACCCTGGCGAACCAGCTGAAGTCTACGGGTCAGAAAAGGAGAAGCAAGCCTGGCACCTGACCTACAAGCTCTCAACAGGCAGAGGGCCCGCCTGAGCAGACTCAGGAAGTCCCTGGGAAAACATCATCCTAACAGCACCGCACCACAGATAAAGCCGGAAATTTTGGACCAGCCTTTTGAGACAGGTTCACAACGTCAACCAAGAAGGAGTACCAAATGCGCAGACAGAGCGTGCAGGGCCAAAATTCATCGTACACTTAAGATTACAGGGGTTTGCGTGGGACGGGTATTCCTGGGAGGAATCCCGGGGGGGGGGGGGGGGGGATGGATAACTGAGGGTGCTGTTTGTGATGCACAAAATTAATTATAATAATAATAGTAATAATAATAAGTTAAAGAGTTTAGGGGGAAAAATTCTTAGACCCCGACTCTCCTCATCTTCGCACACACAACAAACGCACTACTTCTGGGCCCCTAAAATGACTCAACCTCCGCGTGGCGTGTGCTGTGAAATCCAGGCGAAAGCGAAGTAGACTCCTCGCTGGATCTCGGACCAAGTCCCCTGACCCTCAGGGCAGCCCGGGGCAGAGCGGCCACCGGAGTCGGAGGCGTGGCTCTGGCTTCTGGAGGCTACTCGCCTCCCCAGGCGGCGGTCCTCGGAAACCTGCGTGCCCAGGTGACTGCCAGGGCGCGGTCAAGAGGTGAGTCCCGTCTCCTCGCGGCGCCACCCGCTGACCGCGCGGCCCCGCCGCCTCCTCTCCCCGAGCCGCCGCGCCACACTCGGGAATGAAGTGCAAAGTTGGGAAGCGGATGAAGCGCGGAAACGGTCCTCGAAAGACCGTCGCCAGAGGCCCCTCGGGGAAGAGCTCCAGCCGACCGGACAAAGGCGCTCCGGGCGGCGCGCGAGGAGGAGCCCGGGCGCCGGAGGAAGCGCTGCCCCGGCTGGGAAGCAGCTGGGGACCTCATCCCGGACCGCTTCCTGAACGGAACCCGGGCCGGGAGGGGGGGGAGGGAGAAAGGACAAGCAGGAGGGGTGGGTGCGGACGCGGTACCCACCGATTCCTCCCAGGTCGGGCTGCGGGCTGCGACCGCGGGGCGCACGTGCTGCGGCTCCATCGTGCCGGCCCGCGCCCGGTGGCCGCCGGGGCGCACGGACACGGGCCCCCGTGGCCGCCGCTGCCGCCCGCCGCCTGTGACTCGCTCGCCGCGATAGCTGTCGCTGCCGCCCCGGCTCTCGCCCGGAGCCAGCCACCGGCCCTCCCGCGCTCTGTGGCTTCCGCCGCGCTCGCCCGCCCCCGCTCCGGTCCCTTCCTCCGCCGCCGCCTCCGCAACCGCCTGCGTCCCGCTCCCTGGCGCGGCCGCGAGCGCTCGGAACCCCGAGCCGCCGCCGCCGCCTCCCACGGCCGCAGAATCCGCCCCTTGCTGCTGTCTCCGCCCCCCGACTCCCTCCCCTTTCCTCCTGCCGCCTGCCCCTCCCCCAGCCGCCCCTCCCGGCGGGCGGCCCGGGACGCACGTGACCCCCTGCCAGTCCTTATAAGGCGCGGAACCGAAAGCGGCCACCGGGTGGTCACGGGCACCGGGAGGTGGTATTGCGGAGAGAGGCAGCCTCCCCGAGGGGCCGGGCTCGCCAGGAGCCTGGGGGGGGGGGGGGGGGGACCGGTGCCGAGTGGCTCGCGTCCATGGGGCGCGTCCTGGCATCCCTGCCCTCGGCCTCCCTCGCTCCGGGCGCCTGCAGCCCCCACTGGCCGCCTCTGGAGCTGAGGCTGGAGCAATTGCCCAGGACAATACCGGGCTTCAACAGAGCGAGGCTGCGCTTCGCACCCCTGAGCAACTCCCCAAGCACCCCTGCCAGGGGTGGTTTACTCTGAGCTGCTGGGATGACTGGCTGGTTTGCCATTCGCGAGAGAGGTTAACCTTGGAAAGCCCTGCTTTTACTCATTTTTCTGTGGGTAAACGGTTTAGTGGAAAGAAAACCAGCTTAAGGAGCCGGTCTGCCGTCCGCTGTGAGCGCTCCTCTCGAATTCGGGGCAGGGGCAGTTCAGAGAGAGCTCTTAAATGTCAACTGTCTCCTCCTGCTGCTTTCAGAGAAAAAGAAAACGAAAATTGCAACTAGCGTTTCAGATCATCTTTACTGGCAGTGAAGACGGTTTCCATCTAGTTCCAGCAGAGCGGTGACTGCATTTACATGGGTCATTTCCTCCCGTGGACTTTCAGGCTCCTGCCAGCACCCTCTCATGGCCCGTAGTCTGATAGACAGACGGATCCAAACGTTTTGAAACCGAAAAATCAAAACACTTACCTGATCCAGCATGCCCCCACGTCATTCTAATTTCCGTGGCTAATATTCCTTGAGGCTCCGCTGATAAAGGTCACGTAAGGTCTGTGGAGAGCCTAAACCACTGGATGCTTTCCAGCCCTTGCCTTCTACAACCTCACTGATTAGATTCGTATCCCTGAATCTCTCCTTTAAATCAGCCCTGATAGTTGGGTCTTCTTTGTCTCTGGCCATGCTTTGTTCAGTGACCTTCTTACCCACTGAGGTGCTAAGTAGTCTGAGAGTCCTTGAGTGGTCTATCAGGTCCCATCATCCCTCGTTTTTTGTTTACCAGCCAGGTGATGAGAACTCATAGACTTCCAGCTTTTCTGATCTTGCTGCCTTCACCTCCTGAACACTAGGGTTTCAGCTGTACACTGGGACTCAAACCATGGCTTATTCATGCTAGGCAAACATCCTTTCTACCAACTAAGCTACATGCCCAGACCAGAAGCAAATCTTTTTTCAAAAATATTTTTAAATTTTTTTTTTATACTTTTAGTTTTCACTTACACTTATGTGCCTGTGTGTAGGTTTGGGCACATGAGTGCAAGTTTTTTACAGAGGCCAGAGGCATCCCATCCCCCTGGAGCTGAGGTACAAGCTACCCAAGTGTGGGAGCTAGGACTCAAACTCCCCGTTCTCTGCAAGAACAGTGTGTGCTCTTAACCACTGAGCCATCTCTCCAGTCCAGAAAGCACCCAGCTTCTTAACCAGAAACCTCTACCTCTGTTCCCCCTGGCCTTAAATTCAACCTGTCTAAAACAAAGTGCTTCCCTGACAGCTGATTTTTCTCTCGAGTCTTATATAAATGTCACCACAATTCACTTAGTCATGCAGGAGAGAAGGAAAAAGAAATCCTAGGTTCCTCCTTTCTCCCCTCCCCCTTGGTCTCTCTTTCTCCTCTCTCTCTCTCTCTCTCTCTCTCTCTCTCTCTCTCTCTCACACACACACACACACACACTCTGGCTTAAGGGCCCTGGTTTCATTCAGACCCCTGAAACTTTGCATTACTTTCCTTATTAATTTTGAATTTCTTATTGTATTTGTGTGTGAGCCCATGTACAAGTGTGGAGGTCAGAAACTAACTTGCAGGCACAGGGTCTCTTCTTCCACAACAAGCAGAACCCAAAACTTCAGGCTTGGCAGCAGGTACCTTTACCCACTGAGCCACCCCTCCAGTTCCACTTACTTATCATGCTGCCTCTATTGCATCCCTCTTGCTGGGACCAAAGTTAGCCTCCCCACGAATAATATCCTAATATCTTAGCTAGTGCCTGCTCCACCAATTCCTTCAAACGCTCTGAGTTCCTGACAGGCAGGTCCCCCTCAGGCCACTTGTTTTTATGCTGTGCCCTCTTCTGGAATGTTCTTCCTCTTACTCAGCCTATAAAACACCTGTTCCATCTTTCACTTTTCACCCTAAGGGTTACCTTCCTCGTAAAGGTATTCCTGACCTTGCCACGTGGTAAAAGCTGTCTGCTCCCTCTGCACCGACTGTGTGCCATCTCTGATCACCCCGTCCTATCATAATGCCTTAGCAGACTTTTAAGTTAGCTTTTACATATAATTTTCCTGGTGGCAAATATTATAATTGACTCCATCTTCCTGGCTCCCATACAGTTCTCAACATGTGTTTCTCAAGTTTGTTGAGAGAATTGTGGTATCGTTTGAGGTATATTTTTGAGGCTCTAAAAAAGAAAAAAAAAATCAGGTTTTCCTGCCTTGTCTCATTCGGTTCTCACAGTTCTCCGTAAGATGTGTTAGTGTCTTTCACAGGGAACTGCAGCTGAGGCTGCTGAGACCCCGGGGGTAAAGGCTCACTGACCAGCCTGACTTTCAGATTCCCAAATGCAGCAGGTAGAAGGAGTAACCTGACTCCCAAAAGTTGTTCACACACACACACACACACACACACACACACACACACACACACTTGTATACACATCATGTCCATTTGTCTTATTCTCTGTCTCTGTCTCTCTCTCTCTCTCTCTCTCTCTCTCTCTCACACACACACACACACACACACTTTCTTGCACTTACAAACACACACACTAATATTTTAAAAAGAGAACACACTGAAGTTGGAAAAGAAGGAAACAGCTTGCCCGAGGCCCTCCCGTGTAAATCCCGGAGCCAGGGTTATAATCCAGATTGCCTCTTTACCTTGGCTGCATGTGCAGCTGTTTCTGTGTTCTGACTGTTTAGGTCTCTCCTGACCCCTGTTGAAGTCCTTACGTCCATGAGCACTTAGGGAAGAGGTCTGGTCCTGATAGCAGACACGGTAAATGGGGTTGGTGACTTGTAGAGAGGTTCAGGAGGAAGGGGGCTGGAGAAATGCCTCAGTGAGTAAGAGCTTTCGCTGATCTTCCAAAGGACCCAAAGTAGGTTCCCAGCACCCATGTTGGGCAGCTCACAGCCACCTGTAACTCCAGCTCCAGGGCATCCGATGCCCTCTCTGGTTCAGCCACCTGCATGAACATGACACACATATAGGCGTGCAGACACATGTATACACATAAAATAATTCAAAAAGTAAATCAAGAAAAAGAATGCCATGTTCGTTGTCCTGTTGCATTAAATTCTGTCTTGTACGGTACAGTGGTTTCTTTTTCCTTCTGATTACACCGTGTGACTACTTCTTTTCCAACCGTCCCAGGTCATTGTGTTCTCAGGGTGTCTCATAAATGGACAGTTGGATCTTACCCCTCACTACCCGACCACAAGGGCCTGGCCCTCTGCCCTCTTTCTCGATCTGTGTTTATTCACTGTGTATATTAACCAGAATAAAGGGCCCTAGGAAAGCGGGACTGCTGCCGCCCCTCCCCCACACCGTGTTTCCTCCTCACGGAACAGTACACATTAGTAGATTGTTGGGTGTGTCCTCTGTTCCACAGCGCCATCCGCCTCCTAAGGCTTTGCCCTTACGCAGAGGAGGGAAGTGATTTGGCTCCTGCTGCAGGAGGAAGAAGATACCGGGCGGGTATCTACCAACATTGGCAACTACGGCTAAGAATGTTCTTTTAAGTGTCTTTCACCAAAGGCCTGTGAGTCTTCTGTCTTAATTTCATTGCCTGTGGAATTCTACACTGAAAGTGGTTAACACCAGCACTTGAAGGAGCTGATCTTTTAGCACCTAGGGCTAGCAATGTCTGTTCTCAGTCTCATTACTGTACAGATATCTTTCCGCCCATTCAATTTTTATATTTTCATTTTTCAGTTTGTGTTTGGATTCATTTGAATCTAAGTGGATTTTGGATTTGTTTGTTTTTTTAAAGAGAACTTTATATTCATTTTAGCCCAAATCACAAATCCTTCTTTACACCTGAAAATATTTTATTCTTGTGTTACTTTTCTGGATTTTTCTTTCTCTTCTTTGTTTTATTTTTCTAGTCTCAGGCGTATTACCCAATTCTCTAATTTTACTCACAACTATGTTTAGCGGGATGTTGCCACTATCGCTTTTTTGTCCAGATAAGATTTGGCTATGCATCCCTGATGACTGGCCTACCATTCTCTACATAGATCCATCTAGTTTCACACTTGCAGCAATCCTCCTGTCTCTGCCTCTTGAGTGCTCTATATAACCTGCTTCTTAATATGACCACTAAGTTTTTATTGGTTTATTTGCCTAGGATTTTCACGTCATTCTTTTTAAAATTCGTTGGTTCTTTCTCAAGCGTTGTTTTTTTGTTATCTTATTTATCTTGTTAACCTTTTGTTTTGTTTTTGTTATTGTGGTCTCTTGTTGTTGTATTGAGACAGGATCTCTCTACATAGCCCTGGCTATCCTGCCACTCACAGGGTTAGGCCTCAAACTCACAGATATCTGCCTGCCTTTGCCTCCCAAGTGCTGGAACTAAAGGCATGTGCCATCACGCTCAGCATTAAACATTTTAAGCATATTTATTTAGAAACGTTTCTTTTATTGAGAGTTGCTAGAATAAATTCTCCCGTTTGTGCACATATGGGCCACATTTGGGTCAGCGTGTTTCTCTGCAGGCTTCGTAGTGTTTTGCTGGGTGAT